TTTTAATTACCATTCCTTTGACTATTTTAGGATTATGCTTTGGATTTTATGCTTCCGTTGTCATTCCTTCGGTTCCTTTTGTTGTCAAATCATAACTTGTTGGAACAGCTTTTGGATTAACTGGAGTATTTTAAAACACTGCTTTAGCCTTATTTCCTATGATTACTGGAATGATATTTAATTAATTTAAACATGATGAAAATGGAGAAGAAAATGAAGAAAGAGGTTATGTTTATTAAAGTTTCTTTTTTATTGGTATGAGTGTTTTACTTGTTATTATTGCTATTTTATTAATGTTTGTAGATAAAAATGGAGAAAGAAAATTAAGTTAAAGAGGAAAAGGATTTGCAGGAAAACGTAAAGTTGATTATGTTAGTGTACATGAAGTTACTGACATACCAGCAGATAAAAAAATTAGCATTAATTATGATGCTGATCAAAGAATTTGATAATTAAGCATTTTTTTTATAAATAACTAAATCTTAATTATTCATTTCAAACAATCTCAATATTTTTTATATTTAAAAAAAATAAAATCTATTCTATTTCATTACTTATTTATATACACACAAATTTAATTTTCTTACTTATATTAAAAGACTTTAAAACTCATTTATATTACCTTAATTCTCATTACTTTCAATAAATTATATATTTTTTTTTTTTTTTTCTATCTTGTTATTTCTGAAATTTATTATCAAGCACAAAATCAAAGGTTTATTAATAAATAAATAATATATAAATTACTTTATATATATATTAATTGAATTATTAAATATTTAATAAAATAATTTGTTACATATATGATTTAAGAGATTGCTAAATATAATCGCCTTTATCTCTTCTTAGTTTACATTATTAAATTTTCTCTAATTTAATCTTAGACAAAATTCATTAATTTTACTGTGATAATTCTTTCAATATTATTGTTTGGATCTATTGATTTACAATAAAAATTATGTTATAATGCATTTTTATAGAAGGTTTCTTAGAATTTTTATAATATTTTTAAATAGAGGAGCTAAATTTCCAAAAATCAAATAAAAAGGGTTAAGCCTATAAAAAAATAAAAAAATTTAGATGTTAATAATCGTGAATATTTGTAATAGAAATTATTTATGATTTTATTTTATGAAAGTGGAAATACTTTATAGGAAATAAAAAAAAATATAAAATAAAAAATAAAATTAAAGATAGAAAAAAAAATAAGGAATGAAAAAGTGGAATAATAAATATAATTAATTATCTAATCAAAATTGCAAAATTCAATTAACTACTAAAGTGCTACTTGTACTTTTGGTATTTTTAAATTAAGTTTAGATGTTTTAATCATAGCTATATCCATAAAATAAATCTAAGTTATAGATAGCTGTTACTTTAGACAGAATTTTTTTTTAATAATAATCTATTTTCTACAATCTATTCATCCTAAGTATCATTATCATCACTAATATTATTGATATAATCTAAATTATCTTGAATTGGCTGATAAAATAAAATAGAAATATACAGGAGGTATGAAAGGAGATGAGATTTCCTTATTTAATAATTTAGTCCATGGAAAATTTTGTAGCCATGGATGTGATTTGACTTCATTAGGTCCATTAAATCCAAGTCTATTATTTGGTTTACGTTGTATTAATTTATTAATGAAATCAGCAGCATCAATAGACCAATCATCAGGTAATTCACTTCTTTTAACTTAAACTTGTCTAGTTAGAATTTAATCTCTGATTTCTTATCTTGTTCTTCCATTATATGGTCTTCTACCTAACATAAATTCATAAGTCATTATTCCCAAAGCAAAATAATCAACAGCAATTGTATGATTTTATCTACACATAACTTCTGGTGCTATATATTTAATAGTATTAAATAATACCCATATATCCTGGGGTTCCACTTGTATCTTATGAATTCTCAGCTTTCCATATTCTGGCTATTCCTAAATCAGTTAATCGAGCATAACCATTATTATCAAGTACAATGTTTTCTGGTTTAACATCTCTATGAATCACATTTGAATTATGTAAGTATTCTAATGATAAAATAACACAGGCAACAAAAAATTTAGTTTAATGTTCTTTAAATCTTCTTAAACGACCTATATGATATCTAAGATCACCTCCAGTTAATAGATCCATTACTAGATATAAATTATCTCTATCTTAAAAACAATAATTCATATTAATTAAAAATGGGTGTTTGAATTATGCCAATAAATTTCTTTCATTCATAACAGAATTTACACTTCTTTTTGCAATTATTTTAGCTTTTGACATTTCTTTCATTGCAAATTAAGTTCTACTTTTTTTTAATTCAACTTTCCACACTCTTCCAAATCCTCCTTTTCCGATTACAAAATGAAAAGCAAAACTTTATTTACTTACACATATCTAAGTATCAATCTATAATTCTTCATCTTCTTATTCATCCTTCTATACCTTTTTAATTGGAAGACGTGTTTAAGATTATTATTGTATTGAATCATATTTCATAAGTAATGAATTAAAGATGCTCTCAAAATTTTAAATATTTGGCTTTATTTTTGTTGTAGAACTTACCTATGGTATTTTTATATGTGGAACTTCATTTAGATTGATTTTTATATTAGCACTAGCATATTTATTATGATTTGATAATTTTTGAGATGTTTAGCGATTAAGACTCATTGAATCTTCATTTTCGAATATCTTTTTAGAATCTATTGTTGATTATTTTGGAGATTTTTATATTGATAATTGCATTGGACTTTTTGATCTTGATCTATTACTATCTTTACTAAAAAAACTTTGCTGTGGATTTTTATAGGGTAATGCATATTCATTAATGTTTACTTAAGCAATTCTTATTTTATTTGGTGTTTGTACAGGAGTATGATTTCTTTGTTGTTTGTCTTCAGCGTTCTTTTTTTATGCATATTATATAAAGTTGCCAACAGCTAATGGTGATTTTCCTATTCGTAATCTATCAGAAGGAAAATTGGAAAATGGTTTAGAGTATTTAGAAGAAAAGAGTTCTCTTAGATTACGATGGTGGTTAGACATTTTTATTTATTTTAATACATCTCCTTAAAAATTCATATTATTAAACAAAATTACTATATTATAATGTATATGTCTAATTCAATCATTTAACTTTATATTTTTATCAAATTGACTATCATCTACTAATATAGGCTTATCTTCTGTACATTCCTAATGATTCTTAAGTGTAAAACTTACTATCAATTCATCTTATGTATATCCAATTGTTTACAATTCGTGAGTGATTTTTATTAATTTTTCCATACTAGGAAAATTAGTTATGTTGCCTTCATTAGCTTTCATCTTAATTGCTAACTTTTTATCCTTCATAGATGAATTTATTTATATATCAAGAAAATTCAAACACTTATATCTTATTGTCTTTTTTCTCTATTATTTGGACTAGACCTTTTTATTTTTTTCTAATAGTTGTTATTCTATTATTGGATTTTCCTGTATTTAAAATAAAGCAAACTATAGAGCCTTTTATTATAGAAATTCCTAATCATATCTTTCCCCTGTTGCAATAAACAAATTATAATCCTCAACTAATTCTGGATAATTGACTTCCATGTAGTTCTTGTCCTCCAAAACATAATTATTACCATAAGAAACCAAATAAGTATTTGTGTTATCTTCATTTTACTTAATTATTCTGTTAGGTATTCTTGCATCAACTATAATTGGATTATTTCTTTATCTTTTTTAAGCCATAAGTACTCAATAATTACTTATTTAATGGATTCATTTCTATTAGTGTCTTTGCTAAAGTATTTACTATTTTTAAAAATTCATTCCAAAAATTATACCAAATAGATTTATCAAATTAACAATCTCATTTCATTAATTCTTTTACAACCAATAAACAAATTTCATCAAACTTTATTCTTCCATTAATTTTTGAATATGCTTGAGTTCTAACATTCCAAATCGCTACTAAATTTGAGATCACATGCTTTTCTAATTATTTATAATTATTTTTATAAATAAGAGATTATTATATGATCATATCAATAATCCTAATTTGAATTAAACCTTCCCATTTAGTAAAGGAGACTTTCTTGTTGTTTCCTAATAATTACCAACCAAAAAAGATGAATTATTCAAACTATCAAAATTTTTGAATCTTCTAGATTAACGAGGTGTATTTGTTAATGATCTATACTTACTTTACATCTCAAAAAAAGAGTTCATTTTTTTGGAGTTAATTTCTGTGTCTACAAAATTTCCCATTTTTTTACTTTGAATACTCAAGCTTTGATTATTTTTTCTCCTTATATTAAAAGGAGTTAAAGTCATTAGTTTCTTACTCCTTTAACTGTAATTATTTCTTTTTACAAATTATTCCTCATCTAAATTTCTAGATTTTTAATTTGAAATACTTCGGTTAGCCTTTGAATAAGATTTATTGTCATCAAAATTTAAAACATTTTCCTTTTTTAAAATTGATTTAACTTTCTTCTCTGATTATAAAGAGATAAAAAAAGCAACTTTCAAAGTTTATTAAATTAAGCATCTAGCCCAAGATACTTTTTTTCTAACTTAACATGAAGTTTTAGGCTTCATTTTCATCAGACTCTAAACTTCATCTGCTTTTTGTTCAGAATTTAAGTATGTGTTTTACAAGAGTGTTTGTTCTTAATCATCTAATATCTGATTCCAATTTCGACTAATTACCATATCATTCATGTCTTGCTTTTCAAAATCAATAAGCTATTTAAAAAAGTTGCTCTTATTTCTATTTCCTTCTTCTTAATGTTTATATATTGAAAAACCTTCAATAAACTCCATTAATATCTTCAATTATTAACAATATTCAATACCGATACATAAGATAGGCAATAAGGGCTGATAATGATCGACTTTAACCACTAAGACAACAAAATAAAACACTTTCTCCTTTTTTTACAGCCCTCTTCACAAATGTGATAATCTCAATTACATTAGAGATATCAATGATAGTCTAGATATATTAATGATATACTTAATAATCTTCATCTTTCCAATAAAAATTTAAAACCTTTAAATTTGAAGGAGCTTAAATTTCCGAAGCTGCACAGTTTACTACATGAGTTATTTTATTCTGACTTAAGTATTATTATTCCTAGGATAAGTATAACGTGATACATTTAATACAATATAGTTTCCAATAAATATACCATCCTAAATTCGAGAAGCAATCTAATTACTAGTCTATCTTAAATTTAGTGAACTATTAAACATTTAATAATGATCATTATAATTAAAAATTTATTTAATTTATGGACTATGAAATCTTTAAATTTATAGATAAATTTGTTTTTTTACGATGCTATTTTTATTTAAGAACTGCAACAAAAATAAGGTCTTCTAAGAGATTTTATTAAAAAAGATACAATAAAATTGATATTGATTTAATATATCTCATCATCTTCTATCAGGTATAGGCTTACCGGTTTACCAATTAAAATCTTATTTTGGTTTATTTTATAAGATTGCTTCAACCTTTTGTTCTAATTCTTAATCCCACTTTTTGTATAATTCAAGTGCTTTCAATGAATCTTTAATTTATTGGACAGTCTTGGCACCAACAATAGCAGTAGAGACATCTTTATTATATAAGACCCAAGCTATTGACAATTAAGTTTGAGTATAACCAAGTGATTGAGCTAAATCTCCTAACTTTTTGAGTTTTGTCAAAGCATCCTCATTACCCACTTTAAGATTAAATAAATAAAAGTACAAAATTATGCAAAAAATACAGCATGAGATTTATCTTTAGTTAACCAACCATTATCTTTACCAGCTCTACTATCTTCTGGGATTTGATTATTGTTGTATTTTCCAGTTAATAATCCTCCTTATAATGGGCTGTATATTGTGGATCCATATCCTTATGAAAAAATATCTGCATAATCTTTCTCTACTATATTTCTAATAACCATATTATAGATGCACTGTTCAACTACAGGTCTAATTAATCCATGCTTATCACAATAGTTGAAAGCTTCTTAAACTTTTGAAGGTTTCCAATTTGAAGTTCCCCAATAGAAAGCTTTTCCATCTTCTATAATTTAATTGAATCCTCTACAAATTTCTTCAACTGATATATCTTAATCTAAAAAATGAGCATATGCTATGTCTGCATAATCTAATTAAAGCCTTTTAAGTGATGCATTAACTCCTTCGATTACATGTTTTCTATTTAAAGTGAACGAACGATTAATTGGATTCCCACCTTCTTCAAGATTAGCTAGAATCTTTACGGATACTATAATCTTTTCTCGAGGAATATTCAGTTTTTTTATTGATCTTCCAAGTTATTCTTCTGCCTTTCCATTTTCATATCTAAAATTTTAGGAATTTAGAATACATTTCTGCAGTATCAAAGAAATTAACACCTGCTTCATAACAAGTTTTGATAATTTCAGTGTTAATATCTTCATCTTCAGGAGCGAAATTTACCATATTTCCAAAAGATATTCTTGAAATTAATAATCCTGTATTTCCTAATCTAGTATATTCCATTTCGATCAAATTTAATTTATTATATAAACTGTTTTGTAAATATTGCAAACCCTTTTAAATTATTAAATTATGGCCACGTTTTAGTTTTAATTATAAATCATCCTATATTTGAAAATTAATATAAATCATCTTCTGTCAGGAAAAGGCTTTCCACTTTACCAATTGTATTCTTGTTAAGGTTTGTTCTATATAATTGCTTCTACTTTTTGTTCCAAATCTTTGTCCCACTTCTTGTATAATTCAAAGGCCTTCAAAGAATCCTTCACCTATTAGACAGTCTTGGCACCAATGATGGCCGTTGAAACATTTTTGTTATATAAAGTCCATGCTATTGCTAATTATGTTTGAGTATATCCTATCGATTCAGCTAATTCTCCTAATTTTTTGAGTTTCACAAATGACTCTGGATCTTCCACTAAATTCAATATCAATAATATTATTACAAAATCTTTTGAATATGAACAGATAAGACATTTCTTTCGTCAACCATCCATTGTCTGTACCTGCTCTACTTCCTTAAGGAATTTAACCTTCATTATATTTTCCAGTTAATAATCCTCCTTACAAAGGACTATAGATTGTTGTACCATATCCTTCTTCAAATATGTTGATAAAATCTTTTTCTATAATATTTCTAATAAGCATATTATAAGGACATTGTTCAACAATTGGTCTAATTAATCCATGCTTATCGCAATAATTGAATGCCTCTTAAACTTGAGAAGGTTTCCAATTAGATGTACCCCAATAAAAGGCCTTTCCATCCTCAATAACTTGATTGAACCCTCTACATATTTCTTCAATAGGAGTTTCTGGATCATAAATATGAGCGAATGCAATATCCGCATAGTCTAATTGCATTCTTTACAGAGATGCATTAACACCTTCAATAACATGTTTACGATTAAGTGTAAATAATCTATTCACTTTATTACCCCCCTCAAAATTATTTCCCTGTATCTTAACAGAAACAATTATCTTTTCACGTGGTATATTTAATTTCTTAATAGATCTGCCTAGTTGAGCCTCAGCTTAACCATTTTCATAACTTAAAATTATCAGAATTTAGAATACAATTCTGCAGTATCAAAGAAATTAACACCTGCTTCATAACAAGTTTTGATAATTTCAGTGTTAATATCTTCATCTTCAGGAGCAAAATTTACCATATTTCCAAAAGATATTCTTGAAATTAATAATCCTGTATTTCCTAATCTAGTATATTCCATTATTTTTTTAATTAAATTTATATATTATTATTTTTCATAAAACAACGTATTCTAAGAATCAGGGATACTTTAAAATATGATGATAAAATTTTAAAAAAGGATTAAAACTATTTACTCTGATCTAAAAACTAATAATAATATTTATAATTTCAAAATTTTTATTAACGATTACTTTTTTCTTCCTTTATATCAGTAATCAAAGGCCTTGTTAATTGTGAACTAGGATTTAATTATTTAATATTTTTCGAGACTATAAAATTAATTTATAATATAAATTACTATCTGATTTCTTTTGTTGCATTTCCTTCATAAATTATATGATTTCAGTATTTGGATCAATTCCATTTTTTCTTTATTAAATTAATTTATTATACTTTTCAGATCTTCTTCCTAAATCAGAGCGATGAGATTCTTCTGATTTTAATAAATCTGACTACTTCCTCGAATTTTATTAATTCATAAAACCGAATAGTCTAGTATATTGTTTTCTAAAATTACTATTTCGACTTTTTTTTCTCTCTTTTTGGAGAAATTTGCCTGAAACAATTATTAGCTTCTTTAAGTTTGTGTTCCCCCAAAGAAAATAGTAGACTGCCATATGACTTAGAACTGTCTTGTTGTAGATGATTTAATTTTTCGTTTAATGCTTATTTGAATTTTTAGGTAGCTCTACCATCAGGAGATGATATTGAGTATGATTCCTTTCTAAGAATTCTATTAATTATATTGGAATAATTGATGGCATCAGATTTCATAGACATTAATTCTCCGACAGATGTAGAGTTTTTAGTGCTTTGGGAATAATATTGAATCTTACTGTATTTTTTAGGTTTAAATATCTTCTTGAAATTAGTGGGTATTTTTTTAAATCTTTTAATTTAATTATTTTTATTGAATAATTTAAGCACATCTGGATAATGGTGAAATCATAGCAGATCTAAATTTAATTCAAATATTACAAATTTACTATATTTTTACTTTCAGCTGGATAGTTTATTGTAATGTTCAATGGTTACTTCTACTGAGTTAGAAGACTTGTTCGGCTATCCTTACTTAATGATTATGCTCTATTCTATGATTATTATTAAGGAGAATGATTTCGATGAGAGATTTTGCCTGGATCCAGAGATAATATGTTATTATTTGTCAATTACAAAATCTTCGAGGTTTCTAATAATTCAATCTAATAGCTTAATTATAAAAATGTACATTATTTTATAACAATAAGATATCGTATTAGAGACGTGCATTTTCTTAGCATTTCTAATTTAATTTCTCGATTAAATATGAAATCTTTTCGCTATATGTCAATTTAGTTGGCACAGTCTCATTGATATTGCAGGTTTCAGCCATTATATTTTTATCTCCACTCTATCTTTTTGATAAAATGTCGATTTTTTTTTATAAAATCAATTTATCTGAATTCAGTGTCTAAGTTTATTACTTTTATTCAATCAATTATTATTCTAGAAATTAATTTTGCTCCACTAACTGTTTTATTTACTACTAATATTGTATTTAAATCTAATTTTTTTCTTTGTTCAGTTAAACAATTTATTTTCTTAAGTCTTCCTCTATTGTATTCTTATTTTCTGATAAGGATTGATTTTTTAAAACAGTCTATTCAGAATTACTTTGATTTCTATTATTGTTCTAAATATCCGAATTGCCACATAACTATTTCTTTACTATATATTTTTAAATAATTATTTACAATTGTTGAATCCACTTCCTTTAGATGGAAAACAGAATTTAGTTGTATTTTTATTTTATGGGGCTGGTGGTTCTGGCATTGTATCTTTTTAACTTTATTATGTATCAACCCTCTAATTAGTTTATTCTGATATTATGTTTTAAGGATTAAATTCAACAAATTGCATATATGTTATTTATTCATTTCCTTAGTTCTGCTGGTTTTTTATTTTTGATTTACTCTTTTATTCTCGAGAATCAATTGATTTTTGTAATTCTGATGATTTTGATTCATGTGTTTATTAACAATCAATCCTAATCAATTATGAATTTTGAGTTTGTGATTATTTTGAGAAGTTTATGTCTTAATTGTCTTAATCGGGAATATTGCTACAAAATTCTTCAAAAGTATCTAATTCTGGAATCTGTTATAAAAATACTAGAATTTACTTCATTTTCTACAATGATTTACTATTGGAAATACTATAAGCCACATGGAGCTCGATATTTGAAGGAAGGTTACATATACTTTTTTAATTTAAATTGCTATTATTGTTTGATTAATATAAACAAATATATTTCAGTATGTTAAAAATACAAATAAACAATGAATCATTAACACTTACTACAATAAAATTCGTTTTGATTGTATTTGCCATTTTTTATACCGACGCATTCAAAATGATACCAGTTTTTACATGAATCGCACTTAATATGAAATTATGTTATACTTATATATATTGTCGATCGGGATTCACCGGTTAAAAGCAAAAGCAAAATTGCTATAATGCATCCATATTACCAAATTATTTTTTCTAAAGATCCCATTCCAATCTATTAAAATATATAGTAGATTCTATTTCATCCAACTCTTAATATTCACTACAACTCAATATTTTACAGCTGGCGATTATACTCTGGGCTAAAATATACTCTTAATGATTTGTTATAAATAATTCTTGCTCAGAGATCCATTCTGAACATTTTGGCTAAGATTTGATGATCTCACTTTTTCTCATATACCATTATATTCTACATAAACATATCAATTTAGCTGTTGTTGGCTCTTTTATTGATAATATTTATTTTATGGTTCCAACATAATCCTCATCATATTGATCTCCACTATTAATTAAAACTGAATCCCCAACACTCAAGACTTGCCCCTAAACCTTAATTGTATCATATTCTTCATATAATCCTTTAGTTTACAAACCAACTTTGACTAATGTTTTCCATGACTTTTCTTTGTAAAGTTCTCGAATCGTCCATCTTTTCTATAATCTCTTGTGGATTTGCTTTTTAATTGTTGCAGAACTCTCTGGTGATTGTCTTTTCATAAACCTACGATAGTCTGCCCCCTAGCTACATTACAAAGATTTTATCATTTTTTATTTAAATATCTACAAAATACAAAAATTTCTCAATTCGATTTATAATAATTATATAAAAAATTAATCACTCTCTAAAAATTTCTCCTGATTCTCAATCTTATAGCTTAAATGTTAAATTAAATTTAACATAATAAATAATTTTTTTTTCATTCAAAATCTAAATGCTACACTCAAATTCTTTTTAAATTATGGTTGCTTTTATAATCATTAGTTTTATTAAAGATAACTAAATGTAAAGATGTTATGGTTGTCTTTATTTCGGAATTCGCATGAAGTTTTCTTATCTTAATAGAGGTCAAAAGAATCTTAAAAAGAAAGATCAAAGTTATTATAAGTATGCATTTCATTAATAAATTCATAAAATAAACTAAAATATTAGAAATGAGAATATTTTTAGAAATGCTCAAATTTATGAAAAAATACATTAGTAATATAATAAAAATATAGATATTCAGTTTGATTACTTTACACACAGTTAATAAATTTATTAATGTGTATATATTTCACAGAATTCTCGTTATTTCTCTAATCCATTGATTAATTATGAAATCTAATTTAATTCTTTGAAAAATGGCTTAAACTTTACAGAATGTTGACTTTTTATATATTTTAATGTTTCTTCTATTAATTAATCAAGCATAATTTCTTCTTGAATTTGTTCTTCTCTATTGAAATTATATATTTCTAATTATAAGCATTGTTTATATTTATCCATTAATTAAATAGCTTCAATCTTATTTATTAAAGCTTTTCTAAATGAAAATATGTTATGATTAATTTTTTGTTTTTATTATTCCTATAAATTTTCAAACTCTTGTGAATTGTTGTTTATATTTGATTTTCCAATTTATCCTTTTCTTGATTTTTCTTCATATTCTTTTAATCTAATTGAATACCTTTTCAAGTTATAAGCCTTTAATATAATGATAAGTGAATTTAAAATTGTAAATGATTAATCATTTTATTAGAAAAGTTTTAAAAAATTTTTGATTTCTGTTTCTTCGGGGATTTTTTTACAAAGTTAGTCATATTGCAATTTAAAATTGTCATATTATAGGTTTAAATTATTTTCTACATTATTAGATTAATGCATCAAATCAATCTATCCTTTAAACTCTTTTAAACTATTATTTAATTTATCTATTGATTATAATATCTCTATCCAGTTTTTTTACTTTATATTTTCTTCTTCCAAATTGTAGAATTATATTTTTTTGGATTATTTTTCAATTTCTGTTATGATCAAATTTAATTCAGAAGACTTGATTTCACTTTTTAACTTATAATCTTTCAATTTATCAATTATTAATTATTGGGTAATCTTTTAAATTTTTGATTAATTATTTGTTTTAATTTTTATTTCTTCCTGGCAAATTACCTTCATATTTTCTTAATATTAAGTTTAATATTATATAATATCATTTTTTAATTGATTAAATTAAGTTTATCTTTCATTATACGATTTTGTTAATTCATCATATTTGTTATTTTTGATAACAATGAGAATTTCATTTTTTTGAGTCAAGTTTTTGGTTTTCGATTGTAACTTTTTCTTGATTATTTAATAATAGTCTTCTATTTTTAGTTGATTATCATATAAATCTTTTTAAACATACTTTTATAATTAGCGTATTTATTGTTGTTATTCCTCTTTTTTTTATGCTATTTAAACTTTAAAACTATTGTATCTTTATTCTAATGAATTAAATATTTTTTAAGATTCTAAAGAATTTTTTGTCTAAGAGAATAATTCATCAAACTATTCGTTAGCCATTAATATAAAATCTTCTAATTCGTTTTCTCTAGTATTTAAAAGTTAGTTAATCTCTTCATTTTAAAACTTACCGCATTAATTTTTCATATAATTTAATTAAGTTTTCATATCTGAAATTGATTCTAGTAATTTACTTCTTTGACTTTACAAATCCGAAAGAAAATCAATTTATTTTTGTGAAATTATTTTAATTTAAGTTTTTTTTTATTGATATTCTAATATTTAATTTGTTAAACTTTTAATAGTATCAACTTCTTATTAGTAAAGAGTTTTTATTTAAATATATTTATGTATCGATATTTCTGTTTAGTTAAATTAGTTTAATTATTGTTACATTTATTGAATATTTTTTTATTTCTCTTATAATTAATGTTTGATACTTTCTTGATGTTCATCTTAGTCTTTTAAGTTATTTTAAATTTTGTAATCTATTTCATAAATCTAATCATCCATTTAGAATATATAATTTTGCACTTCTTTCTTTAATTCTTGTTTTAAAGCTATTAGGAAATCATTTAATTCATTATTTATTTCTTAAAAGGATTCTAATTTATGTTAAATATCTTATTATTATTTTTAAATATAATTGATTAAATCTTTAGAAATACAATTATATCCTCCATCATAAAATTATTTAAGTTAATTTAATAATGAATCAATAATGTAATTATTCTATTTTAATTATTTAAATTGATCATTAACTTTACTATTGTATTCAGAATAATTTTCACACTTTATCTTAATATTTTCAATAGATTGCGATTATTAATTGAATTCATCTAATAACTTTTAATATTTCTGTTATAAGTTATTCATTGCTTATTA